GGCGGGGTGGGAACCGCTGAGACTGCGCCAATTGTGAGCTTTGGGCAAGCCCGGCCCAGTTGCCAGGCAACCACCCCGTCGCGGGCTGGGAGGGGCTCCCCAACTGGCCTGGCACAAGCAGGGTGCTCCCAGGAGTGGTGGGTGGGCGGGGGACACGCAGGAAGGTGCTGTCTCCAGGATTTCGCCCCTTTTTCATCTTCTCCCACTGCCTGCCCTAAATCAAAAGATAATTTAACTAGAAAAGTCAAGCTACATATGGTTAAAAAGCACCCACCCCAAAACAAATAAAAATAAAATATATAATAAAATAGTTTCAAAAGTAAAATTAAATGAAAAAATACAAAAAATAAAAGTACAAGAAAAGAAAAAATGAATATTTTCACTTGCTGTAGATGCTTGAAAATCTCCCCAGAAATATTATCTTTAAAATTCATACTTCATATTTATACAAAAATGGGAGCAAATATTTCAGAGAGATAATTTTATTTCACAGTAACAAATGCATTATAACACTACTTGCTCTCCTTCTGCACACACTGTCGGAGGCAAATTCTGTCAGTTTTTTATTTTGTTTTGCATACATGAATGTAAAACTTGCATGCTATTTACTTATGAGTTTATCTCTTTATTTACTTTTTCAGTGCTAAGAATAGAACCTAGCATTTCACCATCGCTGAGCTACATCCTTTTTATTTTTGATTTTGAGACAGCATCCGTCTTGGTACCTTGGTAAATTGCCCAGACTAGCCTTGAACTTCCCATCCTCATGCCTCAGCCTCCTGGGTACCTGGGATTACAAGGGTGTGCCACCGTGAGTGGCCTTTTTGTTTCGAAAGACAGTGTCTCTGCACCTTGCTCAGACTCACTGGAATTCTTGGGCTCAAGTGATTCTCAATCCTCCTGATCCTCCTGCCTCAGCTTCCCAAGTAGCTTGGACTACACGTGTATGCCTCTGCTCCTGGCTTGTTTTTAAAAATGTATGTAATAGCTTCTAATAAAAAAGCAATAGTTCCCCAAACCCCCCTATCCTGCCCCTATCCTACCTTCTACTCAGATAAGTTTAAAAATGTTTTCAGGGACACACACACACACACACACACACTATATATATATTTCATATATATATATATATATAGAGAGAGAGAGAGAGAGACATATATATATATACATATATATATATATATATGAAATGTGCAAAGAACAAAAAGTATACTGTGACTAAAGCAAAAGAAAGGTAGAAAACTAAACGGAAAGAAGGCAGAAAGGAAGGAAGGAAAGGAGAAAGGGAGGAAAAAAGGGAGGGAGGGAGGCTCATTCCACAATAATGAGCCTTCCTCAGTTACTGGGGTGCCACGGTTCCTTGGGTCTCAGCTTGTAAATACAGAGTAATTACTGCCCTAATAAGCCATGCATGAAGCAGGCATAACCAGAAAAGGGGCTCCATCTTGGTTCTGGTGAGCAAAATTGTGGTTGATTCTTGGGGGGGTGCTTCTATGAATGAATAATTTGAATTTGACTTACACGTTATAGTTTAATCTTCACAATGATAAATTTCTGCATTTTGAAGACAGAGTTGATGTCAATAGTACCCTTGTTTAACTCTATTGAAAGTTCTTAAAGCTATTTGAGAATCTGGTAGATTTAGGAAGAAATAAAGACATTTCAAAGATTGAAAGGAATTGATTGGTAGTGGGTATACTACACTTGGATTACATTAAAATAATTCATGCATTTATTTTGGATAGAAGTTGGGTAAACATTGTCGGTTGATTGAGGACTTTGAGAAACTTTCTCCCTGAAAAGGAAATTCTTCTTATATTGAACTTAACCATACTTGCCTTAAGCCATTTGGTAGTAGAGTCATCAGAACTTCGATGACACAAAGAAAAAATAGGGGGAAAGGGTATTAAATATTCCTCCTGCATAAAACAAATCTATACAGGAGGTGACATAAAAGCAACATAAATTCTGATACAGACTAGTGCATCGATTAAATTCTCTAATGCTATCTAATTTCCATCTTTATCTGATATTAAATGAGATTTTATTTTCATATTATAACTATTCAAAGGAGTTATGGATTTAATAACTCTTACATAGTGCCAAGCTTTCTTTGTAAAATTGAAGTGATTCTATTGAATTCCCTCACACATCTTTATAAACTGTGATGCGAATCCAGATAAACTGCCTCGGTTCTCAGCAGATTTTAAATTCTTATTTACTGGCTTGAAAGGCAAGCTATTCAGTAGCTCTTTCACAGCAACAAGTATATTAATGAATTTAAATTTGAAGAAGATTGGAATGTGAATCAGTATGGCATGATAAGTGGGGTGCCAGTCCATTTAACTGGTAATAAAATGTGTTAATTTTTATGAATTGTTTCATAAGATTGAGATAAGATTAGTAAAGTTGTGCTATTGCTGTTACCTTGTTTTCAAAATTATTTACAAATTCATCTCTTATAAAGGTTATCTATATTTTGATATTGTTTCCCTCTAAAAATTACAAAAATTATTCAAGGTGCCTTTGTGTGATGAGGAAGGCTATTTATCATTTTATTCTGCATGGTGACTGAGGACTGTGTTGATTGCACAAGCAAATCATAACAGATATGGTGTTATTTCTTTGGAGAGAAAAGAAAACATGTCAGATAATTTTGAAATGAGAAATAAATTAGTTGACAACTTAGAGCTCTATTTAATATTTCCATTAGGAATTTTCCTTGATTCTTTCATATTGCAGAAATTATAAAATATCTCTTGTGTAACTACTGAACAGCTATTGCTTTAGAATATGAACAATTTGTGGAAAATATATTTAGATCAGAATATGCACTTATCTTTGGCTTAGAGTAAAGCTTCTCTAAAATTGCATGGGAGAATTTTTGTGAATCTGAAATAAATGCCTCAAAAATCCTCTCATTCTTTAGTGAGTTTTCATTATTGTTAAGTGAGGCCTAGTTCTTGATTCTCTTGTTTCCCCAAATTTTCCTTCTTATCTTTCCTGCAGTCTGGAGTATTTAGAGTAACCGGGGGATTAATTATTCTTTAAGAATAGAGAGAAAATTGCTATGAAATTTTCTGATCTCCTTCTTTAATGATACATTGTAAATCGCAGTTATTGCCTAAATATTGATCTATTCATGTTTTCTACTTCAGATATGGTTCAATTTTGATAATTTATAATTTGCTATGCAATCTTCTGTATCCCCTTTTCTCAAATTTATTGCCCTATAACTTCTTTTGGTTAATTTGTAATTCTTTGAAATTTCTCTATGAGGTTATAGCTGTTTTTTAAATTTTTGGGTGTTTGTTTGTTTTTTTGGTACCAGGAATCGAACTTAGGACTTTGCACTTGTGAGGCAGGTGGCAGAACCACTGAGCTAAATCCCTGGCCCTCTTTAAAATTTTTAATCACACACAATACACACATTAATTTTTTTCTCTAATTTTAAGCATGAAGGTTTTTCTGTTTCATAAATTCTTTCAAAGAAGTAGCTTTTATTATATAGCTATTCTGTTTTCTATTTCATTAAATGAAACCATTTTCTTCATTATCTCTTAGTGGTATCTTTAATTTTACTTGCCCATTTTCTGACTTCTTAGCATAAAAACTTTCTTTTTTTCTGATATGCTTTATTAATGTAGGCCTTGAAGTTTATAAATTTTTCCCTGTACCCAATTTCTTGAGTGTCTCTTAAGTTTGATATTAAGGGTTCTTTTAGTTTCTTCCTGGAGAATTAGACATGCTAGTTGTGATTCTGCCTTTGATGGAATGATAGAAGATGTTTCTTAATTTCTAATACTTGAACTATTGGCCATATTTTAAATCATGTATCTACAGTACATTCTGATCAGATACTGTGATTATTGATTTTAAGAAATATTTCATGGACATAAAAGGCATATTATCCAGGCAACAAATATATTTAATAAACTTTGTTGAATTAGTCTATTTTCCTATGTACTCTCTCTCTCTCTCTCTCTCTCTCTCTCTCTAAATATATATATATA